AAGCCCGCACGGGGTTGCCATGGAGCGGGGCTCAGCCGCGGGAGCCCGAAGCCGATTCCTCCAGCAAACGCGTTTGCCGACCGAGGCCCTGCCAGCGCCTCGTGTCCCCAGCTCCTCGGTGGCAGCGAGTGAGCACATGCGTGGTCCCGGCAGAGCCTTATCTCTGGGGACACAGCCCCTTCGCTTCCCCGGTGGAGCCAGGGCCCCCTCCATGCTGGAGAGCCCCACAGGCTCCGAGCACCCTGCAGGGACAGTGCCCCTCGCCCCGGTGACGCCACCTCCCCAAGGCCATGGGCCAGCAGAAGAAGCGGTGGCGTTTGCCCCGCAGGCACAGGTCAGCAAAGGCACAGACTGTCCCTGCACAACACCTCTGCCCCAGCCAAATGGGTGATGTCCCCAAGCTCCCGTGGGTGCCGGCACACGCCAGCCGGGGGGAAGCGTGCCCTTGGCAGCACTCTGCCCGCCAGCAGTCCAGACACGGGGCTCCCGCGCTCTGCCACGAGCCAGCCCCCCTGCCCCACCAAAGGGGATTTCAGAGCTCCTGCACCTCAGGAGCGGCAGGCAGCAGTGGCCAGCAGCACACTAAACTGCCTGCCAGGAGCAAGCCCACGGCGTCCCTGTCCCCAGCCCCATGCCAGGGACCATGGGACCTATTCCTCAAAGCCAGGAAGGCGTCTGGGGCAGGAAGGGCATCTCCGGGGCATTTTTCACTGGACAACTGACAGTGCTGAAGTGCTGGAGCAAGTGGAGTTTCTAGCTACAAAGAGGCTTTTGACATTGGAAAGGTTAATGTGAGAGAGAGATCTGTCTCCCTCACAAAGCTCCCTTTGCTGGAGGCACTAGGTTGAGACCTTAATTATTCACCTGTTGGAGAGGTGCCTTTCCATTACGGCATGAGACCGGCGCAGGGATCTGCAGGCAGGAGGGAGGAAAGCCCACAGCATGGGGCAGCCCTGGGTCCCTGCCAGGGTGGGGAGCACCAGGGGATCGGGTCAAAAGCGGGGGGGGGGGGGGGGGGAAGGCAGGCGGGTGTGCAGGGATGCTCTCCGAGGGGCCAGGTTTCAGGCCAGCCCTCCTTTCCCCCGCCGACGCTCCCTCCCGGCTCCGAGCGGCAAGCTCAGCAGCACGCCACGCTTGCCATCTCCCGCAGCCACCGCTGCGGCGCGGGCGGCTGCCGGCACCCCCAGCAACCGCCACCCCCCCCCCCCCGGCTTTGCAAACGTACCGGCGTGGCCTCTGTGAACTGCCACCGCTGGTGACAGCCACCGTGCCACAGCCACCTCGCGGTGCTTTCCCGGGAGAGCGAGGGGGGTCTCCAGCCCCAGCAATGCAGCGGCCCTTCTACCCACACGCTGCAGCAATGCAGCCAAGCTGGAGATACACTTTGCACAGGCCCTTGGGCTGTCTCAGTCATCCAGGCACATCCCCCCCCCCCCCAGTCTGTGAGAGAAAAGCTGCAGAGAAAGCAGAATATCTGTCTCCTCAGTGAGGACTATTAGAAATTGGGGATGCATCCCCACTTCGTTAGCAGCAGTAACAATCTACCTGATGGACTGCTTCTCCACCAAGGGCTTCACTGTGCCTCCTGCACTCATCAATGGATTAAGCTGTTAGCAGGAGGCTGAGAAGTTAAAGAGGGAATATTGTATTTCAGTTCATGTGATCTTTAAGCATCTCTCCAAGAAGCAGCCTGGGATTTTTGTTTGTTTTTTGGCTTTGTTTTTATTTTTATTTTTTTTTTGTTCCCTGCTGCACTTTGTTTGGGATTTCTAAACCAATCAAAGGCATAAGAGTCAAACTGCTCCTGCCTCTCGCAGGGATGCTGAGAGTCGCTGGCCGCTCCGCGGTGCTCTCAGCAGAGCTGCCTGGCTGGCACTTTCCGGTGCCTGATGCCAGCAGATGAACCAGCTACAACCAGCTTCATACCTCTGAGCAGCGAAGAGTTGCTCAAAATGGATTAGCGGGCCCAGAAATGACACGTATTGAGTCGCAGCAGAACAAAATCACTTTTTTTGTTGTTTTAAAGGGAAAAGGAGTTGACAGAAGAAAGGCAGATAGCAAGTGAAAAATCCTGATTTTCTTCCTGTAGCAATGCAGGTACCACGTGAATCATCACTGTCCTCGATATGTAAATAGAGGTTAGCAGGCATCCTCAGCACAAGCCTATATAATTAGGGGACTGATGTAAATACCCATGTCAAACCTTCACCGCTGCATTTCCCCGACAGCCCTCCTGAGGATTCCTCCCCTGGAGAGGAAGGGATCGCCGGGCACCTGTATGCACCCAACTGTGCCCTTCTCAAAACCCAACTGCGAAAGCAAAGACTAGGGAGGAGCACAGGGGAGAGAGGAGGAGAGGCAGAGCTCCTCAAGATTTCCACGAAGGAAATGGCTAATATTCATGATCTCACGGCCTCCTGACATTGTAGCCTCTCAGGATAATCTGATCTTGTGCTGGAGCACTGGGGACTTTGCGGCAGCGGCTTTCGGGCTTCATTGAGAAGTCAGTATGCCAGTTGTAAAGCAGAGGCTCGTACAGTAGTAATGGGGCGAGGCGAGAGCAGCCAGCCCGGGCCCGCCTCCCGCGCCGCGTTATAAGCGGGCATGTGACGGTGTGGCAGCAGCCAGGGCTGGAGCCTGCCCCGCCGCCGCCTCGGAGGGTGAGGTACAAGCACAGCACACGCTCACGGCTCCAGGCGTTTCTTAAGCAAATGAATGCAAATCATAGCTGGGGGAGGTTTGTTGTTGGGTGTTTGGTTTTTGGTTTTTTGTTTTTTGGTTTGGTTTTTTTTTTTTTTTTTTCCTTCTTTTCTTTTTACCCCAGCCTTTAACCCCTCTGCACACGTGGGGACAAAGAGGAAATGCAATTAGCAAAAGCAGGCGCCGGGTGGGAGAGCAAACACTGGCTGCACGGCGCTGCCCAGGGAACCTGCCAAGATCCCTTTGCTGTTCTTTGCGTTATGCACCCCGCAGACAGCAGACTAGCACTAACTCTGTGCATGTACTGCTCCCTCTGATACAGTGCACGTATGGGAGAGGGAGACAAAAAGGGGGGATGGGTGTATTTTAGGAATATTTTAGAAGATATCATAAAAAGTCTTATTTCATCACAGGCCATTTCACAGCCCCAAATTTTGCAGGAGATCTTCACAACATGGTGGTTTTGCACCAGAGCAGGATGACAATTCACAGGATTTTATTTTTTTTTTCCCCTCAGCAGTCCCTTTTTGGAATAAGATTCCTAAATTGGCACATCAAACGCTGACCAAACGGTAAAAAAGAAACAAGCCTTCATATGCGTGCTGCAATCACGCAAGCTTTTCATTTCACTTTAAGCACATGGAGAAAGGGCAGGTTGTTGCAGGGAAGTGGAGCCAGGAACTTTCACCTGCCCAGGGAGCAATGGGGCTGGTGGGAGCTGCAGCCTTCCTGCCACACTTCCCAGGGATGGCATCCCACACAACCAGCCTCCTCTGCTCTAGCTGACGGTTCCCTCAGCAATAATAAATCCGTCCAAATCAGAAAACACAAACCGCTTACAAAATCTTCCCGGCCCACTTCTCACCCTTCCTGACCCTTCCACTCTAATCAACCTGTCAGCAGCTCTTCGTTAACAACCGAAGCTGCCGCCTCGCCCCTGCTCTGCCCCCAGAAAGCTGCCCGGGTCCCATGCCAAGCCAGAGCGCTCTGGAGCTGCTGCATGAAAGGAGGGGAGCCGGGGCTACATCCATCTAGCTGGTGGCAAGACCTGCCTGGTTCTGTCTGGCACACGCACCAGGGGCGAATCTGATTCACCAAGTCTTGAGACCTTATTTGTTTTGAACCCAAACAGCAGGATTTGTCCCCGTCCCATTCCCCACACACATGCTCCTGCTGTTTGCAATCCCGGAGCTAAACTGGTGAGAGAGCAAGGGTTGGGATGAATGTGCTAGCTTCACAATCGAAGCTATTTTGTAATCTGTGGTTATGAAAGTGAAGGGCTGGAGGGATGATATATAACTACAGAAAACTCTTCCCACTTGCACCAGCCTCATCAATCCGACTGCGAAATGTGCGGTTGTGCTCCAGATCAGTCACGGCTCTTGCTCCTGCCCGGCTCATTGTATAGCGCCTCTCTTCCACCCCCCAAAATGGAAAAGCATGCAAGCCCTATAGCCAGCACGGCTCGCTCTCGTGATCGTGCGGGAGCTGCCAAGGAGCCTTAATCTGATTTTAATACCCAGCTCCGTCCAAAACGGAGCCCATCCAGATTTTGGAGCCGCTGACTCGCAGCACCGAGACCCCTCTCCCTGCCAACCCCCCCTTCCCCAAACCTCCATCCCCCAAGATCCCAGCCCGTATGCGTGTAACTGACGCTCGGCATGACTCATCCCACAGCCCGGCTCTTATCAGCCCCCACCGCGCAGCCCCCTGCGGAGCCCCCCCCTCCCCGCACCGCGGCGTCCCCCCTCCCCACCTTTTGCAGCGACGGGGGGGGGGGGGGGGGGCCGTTGCAAGGGAGGGGGGGTTAATGTCAAAACCGATCAACCCATCAACTTCTCCCCCGCCTAACCCCCCTCCCCCCCCCCCCAATTCTCTGCAGAGGGGGGGGGGGGCGGGAGTCCACGTGCGAGTGGTGCTGAAAGCGCCGGCGGGGCTGCGGGGCTGCTGCCGCGCCGGGGCCGCCCCGAAGCCACGGGGAGGGGCGCGGAGAGAGCCGCGCCGGCGGCAGGGTTCCCCGCGTGTGTCCGTCCCCCCCCCCCCCCCCCCATATTTTCCCGCTCTGCGCATCCGTGGAGCAAACGGGACCCCCGCAGATCCTCCGGGGGAAGATCCAGTCCCCGCACCCTCCCGGAGGCGGGGTGAGGGAACCGGCTCTTCCCCAGGTGTCCCGAGAAGGGGGGGGGGGGGGGGGGGGGGGGTGGTCTGCCGGCTTTCCCAGCCCCCCCCGCCCCCCCCCCCCCGCCAGTTGCACGGCGCTGGGGAGCCGGACAGCAGAGCCCCTCCACCGCCCTCCCTACCTGGCTGTCAGCGAGGTAACTGAAGACGAAAGAGGAAAGATCCTCGTCGAGCAGAGAGCTGCAATCCGGCCCCGGCTCCGCCATCTTCCACCTCCGGCTGGGGCTGAGGCGGCACCGAGCGTGCAGCAGGCGCGGCGGCGGCGGCGGCGGCGGCGGCGGGGCCGGGGCCGGCGGGGCGGAGCCGCCCGCAACCCCCGCCCGCCGGCTGCGGGAGCGGGGGGGGCGGGAGGGAGCAGGGCAGGGGGGGACACCCGCGGCGCCAGAGTGCCCCCCCACACACACATACACCCCCCCGGGGGTTGGGGCTCGCAGCCACGCGTGGGGCACAAGCAGCCTCCCGCGGGACACGTGCCCACGCGGGGTACCCGCTTCAAGCACCGCTGCGCCCACCTTAGAAGTGCCAGAGCTTAAAAGTGGGGGCACCCACGGGGGCTGCCGGCATCACCGGGTGCAGACCGACAGTTGCTAGATCACCCCGAGTTGAGATCTGCGAAGCCTGAGGGCAGCGCGTCAGGCTGAGGGTCACATCCAGACTCGGTGGGGGGGGGTTCACCCACAGTTGCAGCGTGCCACGTGGGGCACAAGCACCTTCCCGCGGGACAGGCACCCACCCAGGGCACCCACTTTACGCACCGCTGTGCACAACTCAGAGTGCCAGCCCTTAAAAGTGGGGGCACCCAGCACCACTGGGCACTGCTCGGCAGTCCCTAGATCACGCCAAGTTGAGACAGATAAATCCTGAGAGCAGGGTGTTGGGCTGAGGGTCTCATCCAGGCTCGGTGGGTTGGAGACACACACATCTACAGTTGCAGAGTGCCCCCCAAGGCTTGCAGCCAACGCATGGAGGGCAAACACCTTCCTGCAGAACCTGCACCCACCCAGGGCATCTACTTTAAGCACTTCTGTGCACACCTTAGAAGTGCTAGCCCTTCAAAGTGGAGGCACCTGGGGCGCTGCTAGAATCACCAGGTGCTGCTCGACAGTCCCTAGATCACCCCGAGCTGAGATATATAAATCCTGAGTGCAGGTGTTAGGCTGAGGGTTGTGTCTAGGCTTGGGGTGGGGGGATACCCATGGTTGTGGAGTGCCCCGTGGAGCTTGCAGCCACATGTGGGGCACAAGCACCATCCCGCAGGACATGGGCCCACTCAGGACACTTGCTTTAAGCAGTGCTGTGCACACCTTAATGTGCCAGCCCTTAAAAGTGGGGGCACCCAGCATCACCAGGCACCACTCGTCAGTAGATCACCCCATGTTGAGATATATCAGCCCTGAATGTGGCATGTTGGGCTGAGGGTCACTTCCAGGCTCAGTGGGTCTGCACTGGAGTGGGGCCAGGTGGCCGAGAGCAAAGAGTAACAAAGAGCAAAGGATCTTCAGTTTTCCCTCATTTTCATCTCAACGCTCATTGAACATCTTGATGTTACGCACGTCATTTTTCTGTCTGGGGTTTTGAGGCGTATGCTAAAAGCCCTTTCAGAAATAATTAATGATGGGACCAAAAATCTCATGAATGTTCTATTTACTTACCCATAGCAATTACATGGGAAAGAGCAGGGCTTGGCACTGTAGCCTGAATTAGCTGATATACAACCAAGCAAGTGGCAACACCTTTAGCCTAATGGCTCCAGATCCTCAAATTCCCTCAGATGGCTCATATGTGCCTGCAGGATCAGTGTAAATGGCTGATGAAGCAAAGTGATGCGGAGTGATCTAGGTGGAGAGCTCTGCGTCAGGCTCGGATGGGTGAAGGAAAGGTGCTTCTTCCTCTGGTAGGACAAGCTTGCTGCCTGTCTGCCTTCTTGCCTTGCTTTTCTTTCAAAGGGAGAGCTGTTTCCAGCTGTTCTTTAATGCCCTCTGGCCTCCGTTTGCTTCAAGACATGCTGTGAACATCATCCGATGTAGCAACACTGGATTTTCCCTGATGATCCTGAGCCTTGCACGGAAAGATGCAAGCAGACAGTGTGTGTTACACAGCTGGTGAGAGCTGGGGGCAGGGGCAGCTCAGCTGCTGGAGTGGGACAAAGCAAAAGAGAAGCTGCCACCAACTCTTCCTCATTGCTGTGGCACTTTATTACTAATTACTGGTACGAAGTTCTGAAACAGTTACCCAAGGTGCTTTTCAAGCTGCTCTGCCAGCAATGAGACTTCTCTTCCCGTTGGTGGGAGGTCTGGGCCCAGATGCTCTGCTGTGGCTCACCGCCCAGAGCACGGCGCTGCGCCGCGAGGGCCCAGGGAAGGGAATCGCCTTGCTCTGGGGCACGTGCAATTCCTTGCAGACCAAGACTCAAATTCCCAGTCGACCCTGCGAGCCAGTGATTTGGAGCGCATTCCCCTCCCAGTTGCTCCTTTACAGAAAATGTAAGCGCTGAATGCTATGGAGAGAAGAGGTGAGCTGAGAACAGGAGGGACGTTGGCCTCCATCAGGGGAAAAAGCAGGACTGGAAGGCCTCACCATAAAAGCAGTCACTTGGGAGGAATGTGTTGCACAAAAGGCGAGGTTCTCACTTGAGTATCTCGTGATTTCCTTTATACCAGTTGTACTCAAATAGGAAGTAACCATTCGTGGGAATTACTTGTGAACAGTTGTTCTAAAATCAAATCACGCATAGCCGTGTGTTTCAAAAATACCTTTTCCCTTCTGGTGTGTGTACAAGCACAGTTCCTCCCTCCTTGCTTTCTAAGCCAAGAAGATGAGCCCTTTCCAGTCCCCAGCTGCCACAGCCTGCGGGGCACCCCCCCACCCCCCCACCCCCCACCACCCGCACGGTGCAGCTCGGCCAGGCAGCCCAGAGGCACCGAGGAGCACAAGGAAAGCACAGGCTAGCCTGTGCTGCCCCAATTCTCTTCTGAACAGCAACGGGTTAGGGCTTATTTCAGCCAAGCAGGCAAAACTGGATGGGATGTTGGGGTCAGGCTGCCCTTGTGCTGAGAGGGGGCCTGAGGATAGCAGGGACGGAGAAAAACAGGGGCATCTCAGAGAGGTGGACTTGCTGCTACTTCTGGGTTTCAGTGGGATCCTGGAGGGCGAAGTACAGTTGCTCACGTGGCTGCAAGTCGGTGTTAACATGCTCCAACTTGTGCTCTTGGCTGCTCTGGACTTTTGCACAGTCCAAGCGTTTTTCTGTGCCTTTGGGGTTTTTTCACCTATAGGACAGAGATCACACTGCTTCCCTGTGCCCTGATGCTTCTGGGGGGATTGGCTGAACAATGCTTATAAAAAGGGCTTCGAAAGCACCAGGAGAGATGCAAAGGAGGACAAGATGTTATAGCTGGTATTGTCTCCACCTCCTCAGAAGTCAGTCATGTGGCAGCCTCAGAAACACCCACTGTGGGTAGAGAGGGTATCCAATCCACGGTATTTCAGTGCAGTGGTGTGCACGGGATGTTATATTCCCCCTGTGCGTGCACCCTTCTCTGTCTGTGCACAGAGTGATCGTGCAGTTTCTCTGAATGCTCATGGCTGTCCCCCTAAACCAGAACCTGAGCTTTGTGAGCAGGAGAGGTGCCAGAGCTCCAGCTTCTGCTATTCTTTGTATTTATGCACTCAAAGAGGTTTTCAGCCACAGCTGGGCAGAAATAAGCCCCGCGTGCCGACCCCTTGCTGGCCAGCCCAGGCTAAGCCAGAGCACGGTGTGGCACTGCGCCGGCGCTGCAGCCAGCCACAGCAACACGATGCTAAGCCCGGAGGGGCTGTGGATAGTATTACCAAGGTAAAACATAACAGGAAAAGTCTGCAAATGCCCTTTCAAAACAGCAGAGAGCGAGTAATGTCATTAGGCCAGCGGTCAGGAGGGGACAGGGTTTGAAGGTACCCTTAGCCTCCCAAAGGCCAAATGTGGGACAGGGGCAGGAGCCAATGAGCGGTGGCTGGACAGGAGACACCCCGCGCTGTGCAAACTCCCGCCTTCGGTTTCATGTTGCAGCTGCCCCTGTTTGTGGATGGGAAAATGTTCTAAGGACCAGGCAGTGCGGGCACTGAGGGGCAGCGGCAAATGGGGCTCCTCCGAGTTATAACATCCCCAGGCTCTGGTGGGTCCTCACCAGCCCCCCACGTTGTGACACTCTTTTCTTGCCACTAAAATTAAATGCAGCCCCAGGGAGAATTTGCGTGTTGGCCAGGATGGCCACCCCACTGGCCGCTTTCGCTGGAGACCCAGGGGAAGGGGGGTCTGCACTGGCTGTGTCTCCCTGAGCTGGCGGTTGGGTAAGCTGGAGGTGGCCGAAAGGGAAGATGCCTCCGAGGCTCTTCCGAAGTCCTCTCCTAAATCAATCTTCATTCATGTGGGCTGCTAACTGGAGGCCCTGCTCCCCACGGGGCAGCAGTGGTTAGCAGTGCCATGCCCCTGGGTTTCACTGAGTTTCTCTGTTTGGCTCCTTTCCACGAGCTCTGCTTTGCTTTCCCCTCAGCCCTGCTGGGCACTCAGCTGAGCCTTGTCCTTCACCTGAACTCACCGAGCACAGGGACCTCGTGTCGCTTTTCCTCCACAATTTCTGTGTCCGGTGGCTCCTGATCAGCTGTGTTCACCTGGCAGCTCCTGCCTCCTCCTCTTCCTCTTCAGTTTGTGACATGAGGGCTCTGTGATCCTTAATGGTAAGCAAGGAGTGAACCTATAGAAAGACACCACTGGACAGTGTAACCCCTTGCTTCCCATATGCCTGGGTGGAAACTGCCCCTCTGCTCTTGGGGTGATGTTCTCTTTGCCACAGAGCTGAGCACGTGGCATCTGGGGATGGAGGGGCCCTGGAAAACAAGAGAGTGGCTTCAGAGGACAAGTGGGTGCTGGCTGAGCCTCTGGCCCTTGGCTCCAGCTTGTCTGGGGAGTGGGGCTGGGGCTGTGCTTATTCAGAGGTTGCTGTTCCTGTTCCAGCATCCCTGGGCATCATTGGGGAGCGATGCTCCACCATGCCGGTGAAGGCACACACGGACACCGTATCTGTCTGTGCCATGGCAGAGACCCCCTGGTCCCCTCTCTGGAATGCACCTGGCAGAGGGTCCCTCCCCACCCTGTGCCATCAAACTCAGTTTGCTGCAGCTCTCTTTCTCTGGAGCAGACAGGCACCTGGGCTGCTTCGGCAGGGGAGCCCACAGCCAGCACTGAGGGCTGGGGGATGCACACACGAA